GGTAACATACCACATTTGTTGGATGCAGCGAAAGCAGTTCTTCCCTCCCCAACCTGAATCACCAGTCACTTGGTTCTGAAAATAAAAACAGTTTTTTCTTTCTTTTTTTTAAGATTTTATCTATTGATTGAGAGAGAGAGAGAGAGTGAGAGAGCACAAGCCAGTGGGGAGAGGGAGAAGCAGGGAGCCTGACCTGGGGCTTAATCTCAGGACCCTGGAATCATGACCTGAACTGAAGGCAGGCGCTTAACCAACTGAGCCACCCAGGCACCCCAACAAAAGCAGTTCTAAAAGGGAAGTTCGTAGTGATAAATGCCTATTCCAAGAAATAAAATCCCGAACAACTTTATACCTCAAGGAACTAGAAAAAGAAGAACAAATGAAACCCAGTTAGCAGAAGGAAGGAAATAAGAAAGAACAGAAGTAAATAGAGACTATAATGACAATAGAAGAGGTCACTGAAACTAGAACTAGTTCTTTGAGAGGAAAACAAAATTAGCAAACCTTTAGCTTAGATTCACCAAGAAAAAGAATATTCAAGTAAATAAAATGAGAAATGAAAAAATAGAAGTTACAACTGATAGTATAGAAAGCATCATAAGAGACTACTGTGAGCAATCATATGCTAACAAATTTGGCAATTTAGAAGAAATGGATAAATTTCTGGAAACATACAACCTACCAAGACTGAATCATGATGAAATAAAGAATCTGAGCAAACCAGTTACTAGTAAAGAGATTGAATCAGTAATCAAAAACCTCCCAACAGGGGCGCCTGGGTGGCTCAGAGGGTTAAGCCTCCGCCTTCAGCTCGGGTCATGATCTCGGGGTCCTGGGATCGAGCCCTGTGTTGGGCTCTCTGCTCAGCAGGGAGCCTACTTCCCTCTCTCTCTGCCTGCCTCCCTGCCTACTTGTGATCTCTCTGTCAAATAAATAAAATCTTAAAAAAAACAAAAACAAAAAACCTCCCAACAAACAAAAGTCCAGTATCAGACAGCTTCACTGGTGAATTCTACCAACCATTGAAGGAAAAATATCAATCCTTCTCAAACTCTTCCAAAAAATAGTGAGAGATGAGAACTCTTCTAAACCTACTTTATGAGGCCAGCCTTACTGTGATACCAAAAGCAGACAAGAATGCCACAAGAACAGAAAATTACAGGCTAATATTCTGATGGACATAAATGCAAAAATCTTCAACAAAACTGTAGTAAACTCAGTCCTGCAGTACATTAAAAGGACCATACACCTTGATGTAGTAGTGGTCTTATTCCAGGGATGCAAGGATTGTTTAACCTATGCAGATTAGTCAGTGTGATATACCACATAAACAAAGTGAAGGATACGAATTATATCATCTCAGCAGATGTGGTAAAAGCATTTAACAACATTCAATATCCATTTCTAATTCTCTGTAAAGCCAGTATAGAGGGAGCATACCTTATAGCAAAGGCCATGTATGTTAAGCCCACAGCTAGCAATATACTTAGTGGTAGAAAGCTGAAAGCCTTTCCTGTAAGATGATGAACCAAAACAAAGATGCGCACTTTTGCCACTTTCATTCGGTGTAGTACTAGCAGAGCAGTTAGGCAAGAAAGAGAGATCAAAGGCATCCAAATTAGAAAACAAGAAGTAAAACTATCATTGTGTGGAGATGACATGATATTAAATATAGAAAATCCTAAAGATTCCCATCAGAAAGCTGTTAGAATGATCAAGTTGCAGGATACAAAATCAGTACATGGAAGTCTGTTGCATTTCTGTACATTAATAATGAACTATCAGAAATTAAGAAAATAATCCTATTTGTAGTTGCATCAAAAAAATAAAAATACCTAGTAATAAATTTAACCAAAGAGGTAAAAGACCAGTACATGGAGAACTACAGGACATTAAAGAAAGATGTTGGAGACATTAATAGATATTCTGTGCTTATGAATTGGAAGAGTTTATATTGTTAAAATGTCTATACTACCTGAAACAATACACAGATTCAGTATAATTTCCTTTTTTTTTTTAAAGACTTTATTTATTTATTTAACAGAGAGAGAGAGAGAGGGGAAGAGAGAGAGCACACGCGCACACAAGCAGGCAGAGTGGCAGGCAGAGGGAGAGAGAGAAGCAGGCTTCCCACGGAGCAAGGAGCCCGATGGGGGACTCGATCTCGGATCTTGGCATTATATGAATCTGAGCCAAAGGCAGCTGCCTAACCAATGGAGCCACCCAGGTGTCCCGATTCAGTATAATTTGTAACAAAATTATAATGGATCATTTTTTCAGAGAAATAAAACAAATAATCCTAAAATTTGTGTGGAACCATAAAAAGCCTCATATAACCGCAGCAGTGGTGAGAAAGAGCAAAGCTAGAGGAGGCATCATGCTCTCTGATTTCAAAGTATGTAGTTAAGTATATTGTAATAATTAAACAGTGTGATACTGGCATAAAAATGGACACAGAGATCAATGGTACATAATAGAAAGCCCAGAAATAAACCCACATGGGTAATTAATATATCCTAGAGGAGTCAAGAGTATACAGTGGGTATACAGTTCTTCATAAATGGTGTTGGGAAAATTAAACAGCCACATGTAAAAGAATGACGGTAAAGCACCATTTTATATCATGTGCAGAATTAAATTAAGGATTTGAATGTAAGACATGAAACTATAGGGACACCTGGATGGTTCAGTCAGTTCAGCATCTGCCTTCAGCTAAGGTCATGATCTCAGGATTCGGGGATTGAGTTCCACATCGGGCCCCTACTCAGCAAGGAGCCTGCTTTTTCCTCTGTCCCCTCCCCCTGCTTATGCTCTCTTTTGGTTACATACACTCTCTCTCTCTTAAATAAATAAATAGATAAATAAATTAAAAAAAAAAAGACGTGAAGCCATAAAACACCTCGAAAACATGGATAGCAGTCTCCTTGATATAGGTCTTGGTGATGTTTTTTTGAATCTGACACCAAAAGCAACTAAGGCAAAAATGAACAAATGGGAATATCAAAATAAAAATGTGCACAGCAAAGGATATCAACAAAATGAAAAGGCATCCTACTGAATGGGAGAAAATATTTGCAAATCATATATCTGGTAAGGGACTAATAACCAAAATACATAAAGAACTTGTACAACTCAATATCAAAGACTGAACTACCTGATTAAGAAATGGGCAGAAGATCTGAATAGACATTTTTCCAAAGAAGACATACAGATGGCCAACAGATAAACTGAAAAGATGCTATACATCATTAATTCTTAGGGAAATGCAAATCACAGCCTCATACACAAGATACTGTCTCACACCTGTTAGAATGGTTATTATCAAAAAGGCTGGAAGCAACAAGCATTGGGAAGGATGTGGAAAAACCAGAACCCTTGTGCACTGTTGGTGGGAATGTAAATTGGTGCAGCTAGTGGAAAACAGTATGGAGTTTCCTTAGAAAATTAAAAATAGAACTGTTGTATGACCGAGTAATTCCACTTCTGGGTGTTTATCTGAGGAAAATGAAAACACTAACTCAAAAAGAAATATGTAAGTTAATTTCATGATTATTTATAATAACGAAGAATATACAATGGGGAAAGGACAGTATCTTCAATAAGTGGTATTGGGAAAATTGGATAGCCACATGCAAAAAGTGAAGCTGGATTGGATCACTCTGTTACACTATAGATAAAAATTAACTCAAAATAGGTTCAAATCTTGAACATAAGACCTGAAACCTTAAAGCTCCTAGAAGGAAATGTAGATAGTAAGCTCATTGATACAGGTCTCAGAATGGATAGAGAAATTGTGGTGTATACATACAGTGGAATATCATTCAGTCATAAAAAATAATGAAATCTTGCCATTTGTGACAACATGGATAAACCTTGAGGGCTTTGTACTATGTATAATAAGACAAGAGAAAGACAATACTATGTAATCTCTCACATATGAAATCTAATATATCTATTCGACACTAAGCTCATAGATACAGAGAACAGATTGGTGGTTGCCAGAGGCAGGGGTGGGAGACAGGAAAAATGAGTGAACTGGTTTGGGTTTTAGTTTAAATAAATTGAATTTTTTAGAATATGGGCTTAAGTAGACATTTCTCCAGAGAGGACATACAAATTGCTAATAAGCACGTTAAAAATATGTTCAACATACTAATCATTAGGGAAATGCAAATCAGACTCACAGTGAGATCCAACCTGGATCTATCAGGATGGCTACTATTCAAAAAATCCCCCCAAATTAGAAAATACAGAGGATGTAGAGAAACTGGAATCTTGTTCACTGTTGGTAGCAACATAAAATGGTACAGCTGCTGTGAAAAATAGTATGGCAGTTCCTCAAAGAATGAAAAGCAAAATTACTATGTAATCCAGCAATTCTACTTCTGGGTATAGAATCCCAAAGAACTGAAAGGAGGAACTCAGACAATTATTGGGACACCCCTTTTCACAACAGCATATTCTCCATGGCTAAAATTGGGGAAGCAACCCAAGCGCCCATTAACACATGAAAGAATACACAAAATACGGTATATATGTATTATGTCAGCCTATGAAGGAAGGAAATTCTGTAATATGCTGCAAAATGGATAAACATCAAGGACATTATGCTAAGTAAAATAATCCAGCTACAAATGACAAATTCTATATGATTTTACCTATATGAAGTCCGTAGAGTATTCAAAATCATAGAGACAGAAAGTTAGAATGATGGTTGCCGCTGGCTGGGGAGAAGGAGAATTAAGAATTATTGTGTAGTAGGTACAGATTTTTAGTCCAGGGGATACTAATTGAATGGACTGGAGCAAGGAGGAAAATCTGTTGAGATGATCATGTGTGAGGGTGGAGAGTGGAGTGAGGGACCTGTTAAGCTATGTCTTTAGTCAAGAGTTTCAGTGGAAAGAAGAGAAAATGTCATGTTGTTTGTATGTAGACTATATTATTTTCCTGTCCACCTGCATTGATACACTTTTCATACCTTGCTCTTTTATTTATTTCAGACTTTGGAGTTAGTGCTTTTTTAGCAACTGGTGGTGATATTACCCGAAATAAAGTGAGAAAGACCTTTGTTGGAACTCCTTGCTGGATGGCACCTGAAGTTATGGAACAGGTACTTTGTCTTTCATTTTTTTTAAGTGGTTTATGGTTTTGTACAGAATGAAAAAAATAACAGCAACATTTGCTTTTGTTTGGTGTACAGTTGTACAGGTATCCCCCACTAAAGGAGTTTGTTCTGTGAAACCCCTTTGTAAGCTGAAATGGCACAAAGGAAAGAAACAGTGACCACTAATTTATTTGTAAAAATTTTTTAGCATTTCCAGACACAAAAAATAAACCTCTCTTAGGCCTTTCCGGTACCATAGAACACATCTTGCTATTGGATACACAAAACAAATTGAGTTAAAACAAAGATACTCACATAATTCAAAGCTCTGGTGGATTGACCTGAATGTGGTTCCCTGGGAAGGAGCTGAGCTACACCAGGCTCGTTGCTCGGCCGGGGCGCTGCCTCCATCATGGCAAGCACTGAATGTCATTTTCACGTTTTTTGTAAAAGGGAAAATCCTTTCCCGATTTCTTTCCATAGTGTAAACAGGAACTACTATAGGTCTTTCATGTAAGCCAAATGGCTTAATGGGGTCTTTGAAAAAGTGGGGATACGTATGCTGGGTTAGCGTCGGGAAATACATGTTTCTGTTCCTCAGTTAGGATTTGGGTCCACCCTTAAAAACAGACCTCTAGATCTTTACAAATGATATATGAAACTCAGGATTTATACCAAATACAACCTAAGGAATAATATAATGAAGATTGGTTTAGTAATAGTTTCGTGTTACAGATTAAACGACCTAATCTTTGTACATGTAGATTCACTGCTGTGGTTCTTGAAGGACTAGTTTTGTCCACAACCCCATTTCCCATTTGCTTTCAAACAACTACAGTCAGATGTTGCTCATGTAGTCATTTTATGGAAACTCTCCTAATTCTGAAATCAGGGCTCATTTCTTACTCCTTGCCTTACTTGTTCTCTTGTCATTTGAAACAGTTGATCATTTCCACCTTTATTTACATCTTCAGCTTTTCTAGTGTAGTTTCCTCATTCTTCCCCTACCTGTCTGGCCAGGCTATGTCTCTGACTTCTTTTCTGCCTTCCTTCTACTTCCCAGGACCTGTTCTTGAATTCTTCTCTCACTAATTAGCCTCATCTCTGCTTCCCACCCATTCTATTTTCTTTTAAGTTTTTTATGTTTTTTTGAAGGTTTTATTTATATATCTATTTATTTTACCTTAAGTAGTCTATACACCCAGTGTAGGGCTTGAACTCAACAACCCTGAGATTTGAGAGTTGTGTGCTCTACGGACTGAGCCAGCCAGATTGCTCCTGAAGAGCACCTATAGGAGTGCTTAAACAAAATTAAATTTTTTAAAGATTGTATTTATTTGAGATAGAACGTGAGCCAAGGCAGGCGGCAGAGGGGGAGGGAGAGGGAGAAGCACACTTCACAGAATGCAGAGCCAAATGCAGGGCTCCATCTCATGACTCTGAGATCATGACCTGAGCTGAAATCAAGAGTGGGTTGCTTAACTCACTGAGCCCCCAGGCACCCCCTCAAGATTTTATTTTTAAATAACCTCTACAAAAATAAATCTACATTTATTTTTAAGTAATCTCTGCATTTTAAGTAATCTCTACATTTTATTTTTAAGTATTCTCTATATCTATTTTAAGTAATCTTTACAGGGTTGTGGCTCTAACCCACAACCCTGACATCAAGAATCATAACGCTCCACTAACTGAGCCAGCCCAGCGCCCCATCTATTATATTTTCTAAAGTATATTCATGCCAGTCTTATTTCCTAAACCCCTAGATGGAAGTTTCAAGCCTCCTCTAGATGTTTTACATAGTTATCTTTTAAGTATATCAAAGTCAGTATGTAGAACCGAATTCACTTGTAACTCTTGTAATGCTTATGTTCACCCAGTTGGTGAGGGAAGCATTCCCACTCTGGGGTTATGCAGATGCTGGACACCTCACACTGGACTGGTAAGACTGACAGCAGTTCATTCGTCACGTACACACAGAGCTGCAGGGAGGACGCAACATGACACATGGGGCTCCTCTCAGGAAGAGAGTGGGTAAACGGTTGCTGTGGGAAGCAGACCTTGTAGTATCAAGAGAGTGAGGTGCCCCTTGGTTTCCTTGCGAGGGTGATTGGCTCATTTGATTAATTCTGACGGCTGGTGGGGAGCTGAAACCTGCTACTCCAGGCTGAGCAGGAACTTGGCCTGGTCCAGTTGAACAGGATTGTTGGGCTAAGGGACCTTATCCTTAGGAGCAGACTGGGGAGGGGAACTTGCACTTAGTTCATTAGGGGCCCACCTTCTTTTGCCACATGTCAAGGCAGCACATTGTATGGAGCTTTAATTTCAGGTCCCAAACCACATACTCCCCCCATATATTTCTTCTCCTGTGTTGCTTAAGATAGAGAATGAAAATATTTGGGGCGCCTGGGTAGCTCAGTTGGTTAAGTGACTGCCTTCGGCTCAGGTCATGGTCCTGCAGTCTCAGGATTGAATCCCACATCGGGCTCCCTGCTTGGTGGGGAGTTTGCTTCTCCTTCCGACCTTCCCTCTTCTCATGCTCTCTCTCTCTCTCAAATAAATAAATAAAATCATTTTTAAAAAAATATTTAATTTTATAATGTGCTCATGACAGTATAAAAGGACAAATTTGGTCACATGTTCACATCAACAACTGAAAATATTCAAACCCCTTGTGTCTTTTTTCATTATAAAAATTAAGGAGATTAAACAAGACTATAACATAGAAAATTTGGAAGACCAAAGACATAGCACTATTGCCTAATAGTTTTGTTCTAGTTCTATCCTTTTCCTTTTAAAAAAAAAAAAAAAGATTATACACTTTTGTAATGAGTATCAAAACTTGTGAGGAATTTTGTATACTTTTTTCTTCATAAATGCTTTATCACAAGTGGTTTTCCGTGTTTTCATGTAGAATTCATTTACATTGATTTTAGTTGACCAGCATTTCTTTTAAGTGAGTATTCCGTACTTAACAATTTCCCCATTGTTGGGGAACATTCATTCTGATTGCTTTTTCTTTCGTCTGTTACCAAATATATTTAGCCTTTGCCTGCTCTAGGTTACTTTATTGATTTAAAGCGAATGAACAGTTTAATGGTTCTTGATATGTATTAGAAGTTACTTTTTAAAAGTGCTTTTAGGGGTACTTGGCTAGCTCAGTCAGAAGAGTATGCTACACTTGATCTCAGTCATGGGTTCAAGCCTCACATTGGGTGTAGAGATTACTAAAGAAAAACAAATTTAAATTAAAGTGCTTTTAGGGTGTTAAAAGTAATCATGTATATCTTTATGTTCCTTACAGGTCCGAGGCTATGATTTCAAAGCTGACATCTGGAGTTTTGGGATCACAGCAATTGAACTGGCTACAGGGGCAGCTCCTTACCATAAGTATCCACCAATGAAGGTGAGGTTCATAGTCAAAGTACTATCCCAGCCCATGTCCCAGTTTCTTTTCAGAGCCTACTCCTAGGAAATAAATGGACTTGAAAACGGTGAGTTTTTAGAACTATAAAGTGGGAAGCTATTTTAAGGCCAAAAGAATGGTTTATTTTTTAAGAGGAGGTGGGAGAGGAGATGAGATTTATTTATTTTTTTATCCACCAAAGGCAGTGAGTCCTATAATTGTAGCCAGACATACACATGTTGGCCTTTTTGCCCAGAATGAGAAATACCTCCATCTTTTAGTAATTCCATTCAGTAAATATAAATTGAATATGAAAAGCAAGTATTAGTTCTGACTACAGCCCCCTTTTATTCTTTAGTGTTAACTTTTAGAAAGTGGCTTATGTGGGGCACCTGGGTGGCTCAGTGGGTTAAGCTGCTGCCTTCAGCCTGGGTCGTGATCTCAGGGTCCTTGGATCGAGCCCTCATCAGGCTGTCTGCTCAGCAGGGAGCCTGCTTCCCTCTCTCTCTCTGCTTGCTGCTCTGCCTACTTGTGATCTCTTTCTCTGTCGAATAAATAAATAAAATATTAAAAAAAAAAGTGGCTTATGCTTCTATAAAGAAGTCACACAGTTTAGAAAAATCACCCCGAATCTCATTATATAAATATGACCTTCCTTATTAACACCTCTGTGCATCAAACTAGTATGTTGCCATGAAAGTCAAAGAAGGAAGAGATTTAGGATGGACAGAATAATCAAAATTGTCAGTTACCACAGAGAAGGTAGGAGGAGTGAGAACAGAAAAAGGCTGCAACTCTATTAACTAGGTATTATTAGTGGTTTCTCAGGAATGGCTGAGGAGAAGACATGAACAGACATCTCTGCAAAGAAGACATCCAGATGTCCAACAGACACATGAAAAAGTGCTCAACATTACTCAGCATCAGGGAAATAACAAATCAAAACCACAGTGAGATACCACCTCACACCAATCAAAATGGCTAAAATTAACCAGTCAGGAAACGACAGGTGTTGGCGAGGGTGCGGAGAAAGGGGAACCCTCCTACACTGTCAGTGGGAATGCAAACTGGTGCAGCCACTCTGGAAAACAGTGTGGAAGTTCTTCAAAAAGTTGAAAATAGAGCTACTCTACAACCCAGCAATCGCACTACTACCCTAAAGATACAAATGTAGTGATCCGAAGGGGCACGTACACCTGAATGTTTATAGCAGCAATGTCCACTATAGCCAAACTATGGAAATAACCTAGATGTCCATCAACAGGTGAATGGATAAAGAAGATGTGGTATATATACACAATGGAACACTACCAAAATCTTGCCGTTTGCAACACCGTGGTTAGAACTAGGGGATATTATGCTAAGTGAAATAAGTCAATCAGAGAAAGACAGTTATCATATGATCTCTCTGATATGAGGAATTTGAGAGGCAGGATCGGGGGGGCTCTGGGGGGAAGGGAGGGCAAATGCAATAGGATGGGACCGGGGAGGGAGACAAACCATAGGAGACTCTTAATCTCAGAAAACAAACTAAGGGCGGGGGGGGGGGGGGGGGCGGGGGGGGGGAGTGATAGGGTGGCTGGGTGATGGACATTGGGGAGGGTATGTGCTGTGGTGAGTGCTGTGAATTGTGTAAGATGATGATTCACAGACCTGTACCCCTGAAACAAATAATACGTTATATGTTAATTAAAAAAAATAAGGAGTGGCTGAGGAGTTCTGGGAAGAGAAGGCCAGATTACAAGGGGTCATGTTACAACAGAGCCATGAATAGGTAGAACCAGCAAGATCACATTTTTAATTTTGCTATGGTTTTATTTATTTATTTTTAAATTTGCTGTGATTTTAACTGCTTTGTAAAGTTTTTTTTTTTTTTAAGATAAAGACTTTTTTTTTAAGATTTATTTGTTTATTTGTGACAGAGAGAGAGAAAGAACAAGCAGGGGAAGCAGCACGCAAAACAGAGGGAAAAGCAGGCTACCCACTGAGCAAGGAGCCCGATGTGGGACTTGATCCCAGGACCCTTAACCAGCTGTGCCACTGAGGCATCCCTGATTTTAATTTTTTTTGCAGGTAGTTTGGCAGTATAAGAATGGGGACAGAGGGCATGAAGAAAGGGTTCTTACTAAAGGGCATTCAGTGCTGATACAGTTGAGCCCCTGCAACCACTTTACCTGGGAAACCAACTATCTGTAGGATATTATTTGTGTGGAAAACACCTAAATAACTCTGTGTCCAAATAACTGGTCTAGAGTGAACTGCTTATATATTGGGAGGTTGTCTATATTGAAGAATGTTGACCACAATATTTAACTTAATGAGACATCAGAAATTTTATATTATATTGAAAAATTTTCAGGTTTTAATGCTGACACTACAAAATGATCCTCCTTCTTTGGAAACTGGTGTTCAAGACAAAGAAATGCTGAAAAAATATGGAAAATCATTTAGGAAAATGATTTCATTGTGCCTTCAAAAGGATCCAGAAAAAAGGTAAAATATGAGATAAAGCTTACCTAATTCTCTTCACCTAATATTGTAAACCATTGTGGGAAGTCTAAGTATTAGATACGTACATTCATGTGCAGGAAGTTATTTGTGCATATTCAAATGCATTTGTATTTATTTATAAACTTTAGAAAAAATATACAGGGACTGTTACACTAGATTGGAAATGAATGAATTGCTTTCTCCCTTCTTTAGTATATAGTGTACTTTAGTATATAGTGTACTCTAATAGTTCAGCTAGTTCCTGGCTCATTTTTCATATATTTGTGTTTTGTGAATTCTGTGTTTATAAAATATCATGTTAGTGGGAAGGCTTGTTTTTAATGCATTTAAAAGTCATAAGCAAACAAATATTTTGATGCTGTTTACAATTTCAATAACAAAGGAAATACACAAAGCAAATGTTATATGTGATACCAAACAATCATGTATTTCCCTAAAGGAAAGATATTTTGATGAGTGGACCAAAAATGCAAAGCACTTACTTGTTAACACTAGACAGATTGGAAGGCAAGTAAGTGAATAAACATGATCATCTAATGTCTGTATCTTTATGAATTAAACAGAATCAAATGGTGTTAGAAGTCATTGAGTACAACCTTTTATCTTTAAGGTCAGTCAGCTACCTAGTCATTGAGGTGGGACTTGAATCCAAAACTCCTGATTCTTTACCTAGGACTGTTTCCACTGTATCTCATTTTTCTGTTTCACACATATATTCTACTCAGTTTTTTAGCACTAAGAGTTTTTAAATTTTGGTTTCTCTAACAGTCAACAAAAGTAAAAGATTTTAATTGATACCCTTAGTCACGTCTTTAGTATATTTCATGGGGCTTCAGAATTTACTGTTGGAAATACTGGAAAGGACAAGAAAAACAGGTAGCAAAGTTCAAACCTGTGCTGTTAGAACTTTTTTTTCTTTTTCTGAATAAATAAGTATTAAAAAAACAGGGAATACTTTTGCTTCTGCTTAGTTAAATGACTAAAATAATAGGATTTTTTTGTCACAAATACCCAGATGTGCTGAATAAATTTATCAACTTAACAAACCCAGAGATAAGCTTGCACCTCAGGTGCTAGAAATGATGAGGATGACCTAATTCAGAGAAGATATATCATGAACTGATCCTGTGGCCACCCTCAGTGGGACACTGTTCATTCCAATAACATACTCAGTTAGATTTCTGATTTCCAGGTGGGGACTGAAAATGAGATACTGGCCCAGCCAATGGGGATTCAGAACTGAGATCCCTGCATATGGCTGGGACTTTTACAAGTCTGCCTTCTGAGTAAAAGGACAGACCGGAAAACAAAATATGGTCCATCATCACAAAGACACAACAGAATTTCTCCTGGATAAGCCAGTCCTCTGACCTGTACATTCCATAAGTTGACAGTCGGAATTTATATGGCCCAGATTATCCAGGAGCCCACAAGATTAGAGAATAAAAAAAGTTTTGCCAAGCCAGTTTTATTTCTGGCAGAAGCAATTAGAAAACTATACCATTCGAATTGTTCTAAATTCCCAATCCATGAGATTCCTGCAAATAATGCCCCACTGAAGGGACCAGAAGCTGAAATTATAAAACACATAGTAAAATGCTACACAGCAGACCAGAGTCAGCAGACACAGCAAGCAGAAGGATTAGTGCTCCGAGAACTTTGGATAATGCAAAGATACCTGAAAAACTATAAGTATATTTAAAGTAATTAAAATCCCAATGGAGGAAATCAAAACTGTAGGAAGAGAATATGAGTTTGACCAAGAAGACAAAACAGATGGAGCTACTAGAAATGAAAAATACAATAACTAAAATTTGAAAGTTGACACCTCCTTCACAAGTGATCCAGGTTAGCAATAGCAGTAGTAAGACATACTTAATCATTCCATACTCCCAGATATTGATACCAGGTGCAGGACATACCACTCCTGAAGTATTCCTTCCCCAGATCTTTAACTTCAGTCTGTAATGAGAAAACATCAGACAAAGCCAAATTGAGGAATATGCTGTAAACTCCCTGACCACCACTCTTCTAGAGTGAAGAAAGGGATGACTGAGAAAGTGGCACAGGTTGGAGGAGATGAAGGAGACACGAAGACTAAAAACAAAATGATGTCCTAGATTGGATCCTGGAGCAGAGAAAGGATGTTAGTGCAAAAACTGGGGAAACTTGAATAAAGTTTATAGTTTATAATGTTGTACCAGTATTAATATTTTAAAGTCTGTAGCAATGTTAATATTTTTAGTTAATTTCTTGATAATTATATCACGGTTATGTAAAATGTTAACATTGGGGGAAGCTGGTGACAGGTATGTAGGACCTCAGTATTATCTTTGCATCTCTTCTATAAGCCTAAAATTATTTCAAAGAAAAAGAAGCTGTAGAACATCTTATTTCCAGCTTGTAAACCAAAATTACACCTGTTTAGAACATTCTGAAGTTAAAAAGGAAACAAAATTTCAGTGGATTGGTTAAATAGAACAGCCAATAAAACAAAAAAGAGATAATTGTTGACTAATAATCAAGTTACCAGGCACTTCTGTAAACTGACAACATACATCATCTCATTTAATTTTTACAGTACTTGTATGAGGAGGGTGCTATTATTTTTCCTGTTTTACAAATGAAGAAACTGAATCACAGAGTGGTTAAGTAACATTGCCCAAAGTCACACAGTTAATAAATGTTAGAGCTAGAATTCCAACCCATACAATTTGACTGTGGACTTTCTGCTCTTACTTAATCACACTATACTGAGGAAATTGCTCAGAATGAAGCACAGAAAGATTTTTTAAAAATGGAAATATAAAAAGATGAATATTTGGGGGATAGAATGGGAAGGTTCAGTGTGTGTGTGCACACATGTACATACACATATACATGTATATGTATCTGTAGACTTTAAGGAGAGATTAGGGAGATCAGGAGAAGCAATATTTAAAGCAATAATGGCTGAGAATTTTCTAGAATTGGTGAAATACTTAGAGCCTTGGATTAAAGAACCATCCCTCCACCAATGTCAAGCAGTATTTCCCTTTTCCCATTTGTACACAAGTCTCTAAACTGCTGGATTTAAAGGCAAAGAGAATCTGTTAAATGCAAGCTAAGGGGGCAGGTTACCTACTGAGGAATATAACAGGTAGACTGACAGCCACTTTCCTAATGACAGTTAAGGCCAGAATATACTGGAATAGTTCTGAGAGAAAATAACAATGCAGAATTCCCAGTCTAGCCAAACTATTATTCAAGAATAAGCACGAGGGACGCCTGGGTGGCTCAGTTGGTTAAGCAGCTGCCTTCGGCTCAGGTCATGATCCCAGCGTCCTGGGATCGAGTCCCGCATCGGGCTCCTTTCTCGTCAGGGAGCCTGCTTCTCCCTCTGCCTGCCATTCTGTCTGCCTGTGCTCGCTCTCTCTCCCTTTCTCTCTCTGACAAATAAATAAATAAAATCTTTAAAAAAAAAAAAAAGAATAAGCATGAAACTAAGATTTTTTTCAGACAAAAATTGAGTTTCCAGTCATATAAGGAGCACTTAAAGAACTCCTAGAAATGGTACACTAGAAAGAAGGAAATGAACTCAGAAGAAAAGGATTAATCATATAAAGCAATGTGGTGCAAAGTGTTGAACGTACTGAAATCTTGATTGAATGAGAAAATAGGAAGGATAATGTCTGCTTTCAGTTTGCATAGCACTTTTACATCTCTTCTCTTAAACTGTACAATAATCCTCTGAGGCCCTGGTTCTTAAGTGTGAGTGTACATTAGAATCACTCAGGGAGTTTTTTAAAAACTAATGATGTGTGGGTTTGCCCCAACAGATTCTGCTTTAATTGCTATGGGCCTCAGGATTTGTTTTGAAAGTCCTAGCTTATTATATTGTACAGTAATGTTTTAGAACACTGCCTTCAGGAACTTGACCAGGTAATACAGAACCTTGGAGAAGAGATTTGCTGAGGGTTACCTGGTAGGTGTATGGTGTGATCAGGTCCAGTCTCTTAAGTGTAGTATTGTTTATTCTTTATTCTCTGTCATACTATTTACAAGTTTGTATAATTGACAATGATGATGCCTTTATTCAAGCAAAGAAAGACTGTACAGTCGAGCAAAAAACTGAGTATAGATTCAATATATATATTGAATATATACATTACTTTCAGAATCTTCAATTTTTTTTTTAAAGAAAATTGTTAGATTTATTTTTAAGAATATGTAGTTTTTTAAGTTGAAGGCATGTGTCAAGAGGCACAGGACTTGACTTGGTCCATTTCCTCTTTGTGAGGTTACATGTATTTTTACGCCTTGTTAAAGTAGATAGTGCCCACTTTTTTTGGGAAATGATATTCTTGGCAAAATAATAGCAAATATGTTGAAAGCCATGAAGAAGTCATGATTTCAGAAGAAACATTTCACTAATGAATTTTGCAAAGGATCTGTAATAATTATCAGATCATTTCTGTTTGAGTTTTCTTCTCTACTCCATGTCTCGTACCGAGTTAGTTTATCCTGCTTTTTGCTTTTTAGCCCGTTAAGGAAAGTGGAGAACACTGAGATTTTATCTCGCTGCTCAAGAAATCCTTTTCTCATTTTTGAAGATGGAAACCCACAATTACACTTGAATTAACTATTAAAACGTTCTTTTCTGGTTTTAGACCAACAGCAGCAGAACTGTTAAGGCACAAATTTTTCCAAAAAGCAAAGGTAGGAAATTCTTTTGATTTTATGTGTTCATGTGATCCTCCTCATTGCCTAATTAGATTTACTGCTAAGAAGTTGCTTTTTCTTAAGGTGATGTTTGGAAAAATGATGGTAGATCAGATAATTGCTGGGGGCATTATCTGTATGACCTTTGGTAATTAAGACACATGCTTTAGAATTAGTAAATGTATTTTTCGTATAAATTAATTTGAACATCAGGTTAAATTTTAACAGGAACAGTTGATACTAAATTTTGCCAGTAGTAGTATAATCTATGAAAAATACTCAACTCTCATTTCAGAGTTTGCTACTGAGTTAGTTAACATCTCATTTCCCAAAGAGGAATAGATAAGTGGGATGTTACTGTAGTTGAAAATGTGGGACCATGATCCTGAAGGAGATATGGTAAAGCAAACTTCTCATATATAATGGCTCATACAGTACACTAAAGCTTTGTCTCAATCTGTGAAACTCGATTTGTGAAACTCCTTTTCTAAAGGAGCTTTAGAATTAAAAAAGAATGGAAACTTTCCTCAAACTTCTTTATAAAACAGTTACTATATCACATTTTAATTGTAGTGAATATTTGTGTCAGCTTCTTTGGTTCAATAAAAACTTGTAAGAAGAAAACTTACTTTTCCTCTCCAGAATAAAGAATTTCTTCAAGAAAAAATACTGCAGAGAGCACCAACTATTTCTGAAAGAGCTAAGAAGGTAAATGGAGATATTACTCTGGTTTCCTAGGAAATTGATTAAATTTACTTCTGCATTTTGAAAGTATATGTTAAAAAATGCTTTGTTATGTTATGTATATGTTAAAAATGCTTTTTTTAAGTGTTACTCATTTTTTCCAACCCTTTCATTAGTATTCTTTGATATATTCATTCAATAAATATTAGCCTACAGTATGTCTAAGTGTGCTGTCTACTAGAACGAAAAGGTATGTTACACAATTGATTAATTAATTCTAGACTCTGTTAAATCACTGTCTGTAGCTACCAGAGTAAGTTGTGAAGTTCAGCCCTTTCCTCACACTACACAGAAAACAATGAAGACCCATTAGGATGACTGTAATAAAAAAAGACAGACAGTAGCAACTGTGATAAAGATGTAAGGAAATTGGAACCTTCACACACTAAAGATGAAAATATGAAATGGTGCAATCACTTCAGAAAGTAGTCTGGCAGTTTCTAAAAACACTAAACAAAGCTGCCATATGACCCAGCAATTCCATCCTAGGCCTACTTGGGAGAATTGAGCACATGTACACACAAAGCTATGTACATGAATATTCCCAGCAGCATTATTCATAATAACTAAAAAGTGGAAATAGCCTGATTATCCATCTGTAGATGAATGGATATATAAAATGTCATGTGTCCATAATATAGAATATTATTCAGCAATTAAAAATTAAGTACTAGGGGCACCTGGGTGGCTCAGTGGGTTAAAGCCTCTGCCTTCGGCTCAGGTCATGATTCCAGGGTCCTGGGATCGAGCCCCGCATCTGGCTCTCTGCTCAGCAGGGAACCTGCTTCCTCCTCCCTCTCTGCCTGCCACTCTGCCTACTTGTGATCTTTGTCAAATAAATAAATAAAATCTTAAAAAAAATGAAGTACTAATATATGATAGAATGTTATTAAGCAATAAAAAGAAATGAAGTACTGACGCATGTCATAGCATGGATAAACCTTTAAAACATTATGCTAATTGTGGGAGCTACTTACAAAAGACCACATATTAGATGATTCTGTTTATGTGAAATGTCCAGAATAAGCAAATGTGTAGAGACAGAAAGTAGATTCAAGGTTACCCAGGACTGGGATTATACGGAAAATGGGCAGTAACTTCTAATGGGTCTGGGGTTTTGTTTTTGCCATGTAGAGGAGTGAAGAAAATGATCTAGATTTAATTATGGAGATGGTTACACAACTTGGAATATACTAAAAATAATTGAACCTTAAATGGGTCAATTATATGGTATGAATTTTATCTTAACAGATCTAGTACTTTAAAAAGGAGCATCTGGACACTGACACCACCATGAGCAAAAAGCTCTTAGAAGTGGAAAACATTATAGAAGAAATGAAAATAGTTAATATGGTTGTGTGGTAAAGCTAAGAAAATTTCCCAGAAAATAGAGCCCCAAACGCCAAGAGATAAATAACAGAAGAAAAAAGACAAGAGCGTTAGAGGATCATTTGAGAAGGTTCAATTTTGAGTAAATAAGTTCCAGAAAAGCAGAATGGAGGAAAATAGAAGAAAGAGAATCACTGAAAAAATAATTCAAGAGAAATTTCCAAATTGATAGTCACAAATTTCCAGATTAAAAAAGCACAAGTATGTAGCAGAATGAATGGAAATAGACCAGCTCTAAGACACATTGCTGGAATACTAGAGGCAAAAAGAGGATTCTCTAGTTTCCAGAGAAGGGGGAAAGATCATGGACGGTGTTGGATATCATAATGACGTCAGTCGCTCCCCTATAAGCCAGGTCATAGCGAAGCAGTTACATATAACGTTATGAAAGAAAATGATTTCTACTAACCCAGACTTTTTTTTTTTTTTTTTTTTTTTCTTTTCTAAACCAGGTAAACTACGTTCTGGGGATGGAATCAAAGTTGAGAAATGCATGGCTTTTAATTAGTGTGCCATGCTAATAATGGAGGAAGTACTTAAACTGAGAAAGAGGAAGTCATGTGACAGGTGATAGAGAGAGATCTGAGAAACCAGTCTAGGCTGGAGCAGATCAGGAGGCTGGGGTAGCATCTTCCTCTAGAAGGTGATTCTGAGAAGTACCTAATGTATATGAATGTGGTGAGAGGAGAGTTACACAACTGGGAGACCGTTTGGGGCTAAATATGATAAGTACATGAAAATAAGCAAATATTATTAATTCCAAGGGAAATAAAAAGGTTACAGGAGAGAGAAAAGTAATTGTAATATACAATAAGGCTTAACTGTCTCATTAATGAAATCGTGGTGGAAACACTGAATTTTGATTTAACCAAAATTTCACTGTATCTTGAGAAAAGAGTTATGGGGGTTGATAATAGGGTTAAATTCTCATCTTTCGTAGTGGGAAGTCCAGTAGGTAATTCTTAAAACCAAAGAATCAAGGAGTAATAATAACACATTACTTAGAGGAATATGAATTTAAAAAGAATATGCTAGAATGAGTTGAAAGTGGTTCCCTGTGAGTAAGAGGGTAAAAGAAGATTGCTGTTTTTCTTAACAAAACTTGCACAGATAACAGTGCTCTTGGAACTGCAGGTTTAATTGTGATTTTTAAATTTAAAATTTTGAAAAAAACCAGAATCTTCTCTGTCTTGGGTGTATTTATTTGGGGGGCTGAAGAAAAATTTTTCAAATCTCTCAACATGAAACCATTAATAAAATTTGGTTTGTGACTTCACATAGGAAGGATTTGGTGCTTGGGCCCAAGAGTATAGATGTATAGGGAAAGTCAGTGGTTGGAGTAAAGACAGGTAGATAGTGGAGCACAGAGAGCAAGGGAGGGGTGCAAGACACATACAGTATATATAGTAAATATCAAACAGTACCATAATCCACATCTCTCTTCCTCATGTACAGGTTCGGAGAGTACCAGGTTCCAGTGGCCGCCTTCATAAGACAGAAGATGGCGGCTGGGAGTGGAGTGATGACGAATTTGATGAAGAAAGTGAGGAAGGGAAAGCAGCAATTTCACAACTCAGGGTAAGTCTTGTTAAACTCTATGCTTAAGATAGAGCTCTATCTTTTTGTTTGAAGCCTCTGAGATATGATATTCTCTGGTTCTGTTCAGCTTAACCATCTAAAACATAGAAAATTCAAGTGCTATTTACAGAATTTCCTTAAGGAAGTTATTAACCGTAGGAGCCCATTTAATCCTACATGGAAGAGTGGACTGACACATCTGTTTGAATATGATATTTACGGTATATAAAAATGGCCAAAATCTAGAGATGTAAACTGAGTCTGAGATGAGAGTACACTGGATAGGACTGATGACTGATTAAACATTGCGGAAGAAGCGATCACTGAATAGTATACCTTTCTTTAGTTGCTATATCCTGGATGGTTGTGTGTGTGTGTCTGTATATGTGTTTGCTTGAAGCAGTGAAGACAAAGCTCTTATTTTGTTTTTTTCCCATCACTCTTTCCTAAGGTTAATGCCTCAAGTTGATTGTTAGGACTCATTCCCAGGAATAGAAATATATATGGGAAATATTAATGTTTGAGGTTCATCACAACCTTGACTGCCTAAAACCTTTCTGTGGTATTAGTGGTGGGTAGATGGTATATCTCTTCCTGCCTATAAGATCTCCTCTGCCTTAGCACTCATGACTTTGCTGATCAGCACTGAATATTTGTTGATCTTGTCAGATGAAGTCTTTTTGCAGAGCTAGAAGTAAAGCTTTACTTCGTAGAGACCTTGCCAATGAGAACTGGCAAAAATTTATAACATTCTAACCTTGGAAAGGTCTTTAAGTGTGTGTGTGTGTGTGTGTGTGTGTGTGTGTGTATAAACATTTGTTTACATAGATTATGAGTTTATTAAAATGTGGGACAGGTTTCTTTGCTCCTTACTTTTTATATGATTCCTCCTTAAATCGATATTGTTTTATACTATTACATTGAAGTGATCGAAGGAAGCCAGAGGTACATGAATCTTGAAGTTTTAGCTTACTTTGAAAGAGATTTTCATAGGAATTTTTCCTCTGACCAACAGATTTTATTTGGGAAGATAAATTATAATGTTTGATTATTATCCCCTAGCCATCTGCAAGAGAAATTTATTTAAAATTTTGTAGTTTGGGGGGTGCCTAGATGGCTCAGTCCATTAAGCTTCTGCCTTCGGCTCAGGTCATAATCCCAGGGGCCTGGGATTGAGCCCTGCATTGGGCTCCCAGCTCACAGGAAGCCTGCTTCTCCCTTTCCTCCCCATTTGTGCTTTTTCTTGCTATCTCTCTGTCACTCAAATAAATAAATAATCTTTAAAAATAAACGAAAATAAAATTTTGTAGTTCTGAAATATTGAGCTTTATAACCTAATACACTGGTATGTAAATAGCTTAGAAAATTATAGAATTTGTTCTCAAAATGAGTAATTTTCTGTATTTCTCATAATCTGTAACTATTTTTGAGGACATGAATTCTTTTGTAAAAGGAAAGTCTTGTTTGAATTGAATTACATTGAAAATGCACACTATTATCAAGTGGGGTAGTCTGCAAGGATTGTTCGATATTAGGAATTCTTACCATATTAATAGGCCTAAAGATAGATGAAAAAACTTTGACAAAATCTAATAGGCCTACTGAGAAGACAAATCATACTCTTATTTTCACATGTTCTGAAAAAACTTTGACAAAATTCCGCACATGTTCATTATAGACTCTTGTTTAGATCCAGATTTCCATGTTTATATCATTTTCTTTATTCTGAAGAACTTTCCTTAACATTTTTTGTGATGTGAATCTGCTGGTGTTGATTTCTTTCAGGTTTTTGTCGGAAAATGTCTCTGTTTCACTTTTGTTTTGAAAAGATACGTTTGCTAAGTATAAACTTTTAGATTGATAAGCTCTTTCTTTCAGTACTTTAAAGACGTTTCACCATATTCTTGTTTATATTGTTTCTTTTGAGAAATCCGCTGGTATACTTACTTGCCTTGTTCTTTTATAAGTTGTATGTATCTGTATCCTGGCTGCTTTTAAGATTTTTTTCTTTTTGTATAGAGTTGAGCAATTTGATGCCTGGTTTGGTTGTTTGGTTGGTTTATTTACATGTTTCTTGTGCTTGGGGTTTATTGAGCTTGCATCTGTGGGTTTATTGGTTTCTATAAGTTTGGGAATTTTTTAGCCTTATATTTTCAGATACTTTCTTCTGCCCTTCATGCACTTTGGAGACTCCAGTAACTTGTATATTAAGCTGCTTTAAAATTGCCAGCTCACTGATTTTCTTTTCATTTTTAAAAAATTCTCTTTCAGTCCCATTTTGCACAGTTTCTATTGCTGGCTTTCAAGTTCATTCATCTTTTCTTCTGCGGTGCCTAATGCTGCTAATCCCATTCAATCTATTTTGTATCACAGACATTAAATATTTTAAGTTTGATTTTGTGTCTGTTCATTTTTATACCTTCATGTCTTACTTTTTGAAGATAATGTGAGATGTAGTAACTATAGTATAGTTAAAATAGCTATGTTAGTGTCCTTTTCTGCTCATTCTAACACTTATGTCAGTTGTGGAGCAGTTTTGTTTGATTGATTATTCCCTTCATTATAGCTTCCTCAACTCAGCTTCCTGAGTTGAGGAAATAGGCTAAGGGTCCAGGGAGACCAAGGCAGATGAAATCGATAAGGTAGAGTACCAGGGAGGAGAGAGCTATACAGAGAGAGAAGTTTAGAAATCTACAGAGCTTCCTTTTTGAGTGTACAGCAGAATACTCTTTAAGAAATACATCTGAGTAAACCACCTGAGACTGGGTGACAGTGCCCAGTGCTCACAGAGAGCCAAGAACAGTGCCTCTTCCCACCAGTCAGAGTGGAGAAGCCTGTAATTCACAAGGCATTGGGTAGAGTTCTCAGAAAGGTCTTATCTAAGTATTGGGGAGCATATGGCCCTATACTGAGCCCTGCTGCAGATCCAACTAACAAATCACAAAAGCAAGATCCAAAAGGCTTAAGCCATTTCCAAGTAACTTTACTGTATTTCAGAACAAAGCTTGAGAAGATTTATAGCAATACAAAATTATCAGCTTGCAACAAAGTAATATTCACAGCATCTGGCATCTAATCAAAGATCATCAGGTATGCAGAGAGTCAGGAAAGCAGTAACAGTGAGCTCACTTTATGCCCAGATCTTGGTCTTTAATGTCATTCTCTACTAAAAGAATGAAGGCTCCTTGGAGAAATGGATGATTCTGAGGCTTACATGGGGAAAATACAAGATGAATCTGGAATATCTTCTTTTGTGAAAAAGAAAGGTTTTTTTATTTAAAAAGAAAGTCATAATTTGATAACAGGTGCACCAGGTTGAATTAGTTCCCACTCACCAAATTAGAATTTAACTATCAAAATCATTAAGTGTATTAATAAATTAATTGTAAATCATTTTAAAAATTGGAATCCATGAATCCATGCCAATAATGAATAGATGGATAAATAAGTGGGGGCGGGGGGGTTGCTAATTTTTCATTATAGTAAATTGCCAGTGCTGACTGGTAAATGTGGAAGAGTATTGGAGGGGAATATCATCACTTTATAACCATGATAAAGCAGTCAATAAAGATTAGGTCAGACAAGAATCATCAGCAGTTGCTAAATATAGGGGAAATTTTTGATGAGCAGGATATTTACAGGGTCTTGAAGTGTCTCTTCAAAATTGCCATTAGTTGGAAGGGGAATATAATTACTACATACTGGAGAACTTGGAAAAGCCTTGACTAAAAGGTGATTAAAATTGATTAAAATTGACATTATTGTGAAATTTGCTGAAGTTGATAACTTTAGTAGTGTGAATTTACATAAGAGGATATCCCTGTCTTATGAAATACACAGTGACTGTTCAGTGGTAAGCAGCTAGGACATATGCAACTTACTCTCAAATGGTACAGGAACAACATGACCGGTTAAATATATATTGTATATCGATTTTAAAAAGAGAGAAAGTGAACATCTTAAATAGGAAAGCAGATAAGGAAGAAAGATTAATGATTCTCATTCTAACAACTTTTCTGTAAGTTTGAAATTATTTCCAAATACTAAGTTTTTTTTTAAAGGTTTGGTTTGGCCAGTATAGTTGCTGTGATATGTTAGTTATCACCTGAACCTTGATTCTCCTTAATAAAGTGGTGATGAAAATTCACAAAAACCTAAGCTGAATAATCTGACCTTTTAGGTAGTCTAAATTGATGCTTGGTAGCATTGACCATAAATTGGTATTTGTTTAGATATAGGGTAAGGGTGTTTTGTTTTGTTCTGTTTTGTTTTGTTTTTGTATTCTCCAATTGCGTGTATCCAGAATCACTGATGTTATGATTTACTAAATAAATTTAGCTTAGATGTTCATATGGCAGATTACAACTGGTTTTTCAGTTTTGACTCAAGAGTTTTCTTCATTAAAGCCCATAACCTGAATTACTCTGCTTTGAAGATGTGTTGGATAATTAGCTTAAAGGCTTACATTTGGTCTGGGATATTATATATATAATATGTTCATGATAACACTGGGTGTTAAACACAACTGATGAATTATTGAACTCTACATCTGAAACAAATTATGTATTTTTTGTTTCTAATTGAATTTAAATTTAAAAAATAGTATGTTCATGATTAGTAGAAAGAATTGTACTTTGAAGAATGTGACCTCCTATTGCCTGAGAACTCAGTCCCATTATGTTTGGTTATAAACCTCAAGTTGTGGGGCACCTGGGTGGCTCAGTGGGTTAAACCTCTGCCTTCAGCTCAGGTCATGATCTGAGGGTCCTGGGATGGAGCCCCACATCGGGCTCTCTGCTCGGCAGGCAGCCTACTTCCCCCTCTTTCTCTGCCTGGCTCTCTGCCTAATTTTGATCTCTCTCTGTGTGTCAAATAAATTTAAAAAAACAACAAAACAAAAAAACAAACCTCAAGTTGTGAACTTTTAAAATACTGTTAAGACATTGATGTATTAAAGGCTACCTGGACAAAGAATACAATAGTATCATGATATTTTCTTTTTCCAGAAAACTCACTAGAGTTACGAGTGACTTAACTTATGGATCAGAATGAAATGGAGTTTATTTGCGTTTCAACATTCTGTGCAGTTTGGAACTGACTACAAGTAACCTAAGTTTTGAGTTAATAAGCCTTTTTTGTATTTCTTTTAGTCTCCCCGAGTGAAAGAACCATTATCAAATTCTGAGGTAAGTAGTTGTGGTTTTTGAATCATTAAAAAACCAGTCATTTTGTTTTGGTTTGGTTTTAATGTTAAGCACATCTTTTTATATGGGCCTAAGTGAGAATGAGAATTTATAGCAATCAGATTTCACCGGAGGTATTGATTCTGAGTTTAAAAGGACTTCTCCAGTAAGTTGGTGCTGTTGCGCTCATTTAAAAGTTGACCTAAAGGCTCAGAAAGTTGTTCTTTCCTTGCTTGCCTGATTTTATGAATTACTTTTCTGGCTTGGGTAGCTTGATGTGGAAAGTCGTCTTATTGCATTAATCTGTCCAGGGATTTGTCATATGCTACTTTTTCTTTTTGTCCGGTCCCCCCTCCCATTGTCTTTTGTCATGTAGATTCTGTTGTCTTTAGTTCTTGCCTTTTGGTGATAGGAATCCTACTAAAAAGAGTCCTGTTAGGCTGGCCTGCCTTATGCTCATTTCTTGAAGATAACAGTTATTTCTGGAGATACATTCTGTGATACATTCTTCCTTCTGGCAGCCTGCATTGCAAGCTCAGTATTTGGTTTAATGATACACGTCTTGCCCCCTTAAATCAGTTTGATTTTGCCCTGTTGCTTAAAAGTACCTATTTTTCTACTTGATTTTTGTGGATGGCATACGATTTTTGCACACCGTTAAGTACAGGATTTGTGCACATAGTATTGTTTAAGACTAAAATACTGTACTGTAGCATATTTATAGGCTGGTATCTGACAACTTATAGCAGAACTGCAGTTCACTAGGATTTCTGGCTCTTCTTCTTGCTACATGGTGGAATTGCATCTCCCTACCCCTTGAAGTTACTCATGCTCATAGCAGTGGCTTTGGGCAGGGAAATGCCAGCAGAAAGAAGAGCCCTTCTGTTGTTCCCTGGGTTCTCTGGCTCCTGCCACCACAGCCTGTATCCCCAAATGAGGATGGTACCAAATTTAGCCTCTGCTGGCCAGAGATCGAGATGAAGTGTGTGCAAGAAATAACTTTTCTTCTTGTAATCTTCTGAGAATTTAAGATTATTTTTTACTCTTACTTTATCTTGACTAATTCTTAGTTTCTCCACTGTTGATGGAGAGGGTATTTTGTAGTTGATCTGGAGTTGTTCTATGATCTTATCCTTTTCCCTTTGCCTCAGTAGCACCCCCACGTGCACTCTCAGGTGCTCATACTCATACTCCTGCACTCCTTATTTTGTCATTGGGTTTGAAATCCCTGGTGAAGTACACGTAGTGTAAAAGTTAACATCTTCACCATGTTTAAGGGTATAGTTTAGTAGCGTTTAGTACATTCACACTGTTGCGCAGCTATCCACTGTCCATCTCCAGAAGAACAATCATCCCATGTTTCCCACCCCCTACCCCTGGCAGCCACCACTCTACTATGTCTGAATTCTACTGCTTTCTGTATACCTCATGTAAGTGGACTCACAGAGTATTTGTCCTTTGTGACCAGCTCATCTTACCCAGCATAATGCCCTCTAGGTTCACCCATGTAATATGTGTCAGAATTTCCTTCTTTCCTCCCTTTTTGAGGCTGAATAATATTCCATTGGATATATCTACCACATTTGTTTCTCTTTTGGCTGGACGGACACTGGGTTGCTTTCACCTCTGGACTATTGTGAATAATTCCACTGTGAACGTGGCTACATAATAAATATTTGTTTTAGTTCCTGCTTTCAATTCGTGGAGGTCTGTATCCAGAATGGAATCATTCTATTTTTAATTTTTTTTTTGAGGAATCACCTTACCATTTTCCATAGTGGCTGCACTATTCTCCACTCCCACTGCAGTGCACAAGGTTCCAGTTTCTCCATATCAGTTCATTTCTTGATTTTATCTAACATTTCTGTTCTTATTATAGGTAAACACATGTATGCAATTTGAAGGCTCCTTTTGAAATAATGCTAATACTTAATGTTAACATTTTCAAAAGTAATCTTAATGTTCTGTTTTTCTGTCAAAATCCAGAACCAGAGTTACTTTTAATTTCCTCTCTATGAAGCTAAAGGATCACAAAAATATACTACTTTGTGTCTTAACTTTGTTTATATAATATCAGCTACTAGACCTTTTTTGTTGCCCTTTCAGTTTTTTTCTCTTTCAATTCTAAATTATAGCCAACTCTAGTATTTTTTTCACCAACTTATAATTTTGAATAGTTTAATTTTATTTTCAATTCAACATTAGTCTTTTGTCCCCACATTACATAATTAAAATTTATAAAATATTTCAAACATGCAAAATTATATATCTATATGTATATATATAATGTCTGTGTTGGTTATAAAGCTTTATATCTGTTTTGAAAAGCATTTCAGATTCGTTAATGAATCACTGATTACTTGTCTTTCTTTTTAAGTACTGGAAGGTTTTCAGACCTAGAAAAATGTAGCTCCTGTAGAAGAAGATTTACTACTTAAATCTGTGTCTTAGAGGTGCTGTTTTATTGGGCAAAGGAAATAGAATAGATGTAGTTAAAAATAAATAGGATGCAATGAAATTTTATTCTGAAGGAATAAAAGCAAACTAAGGGCTATAATATGGCTAAACCTCAGAACATTGTGCTAAGTGAAATAAGGCAGACAACAGAGTGCATGCATTTTATTTATATGAAGGATCCGGAAAAGGCAAACTGATGGGGACCGAAAGTAGGTCAGTGGTCACCTAGGGCTGGGTGTGGGAGCAGGAATTAAATGTAAATGGGCACAAGAGAACTTTCTGAGTTGATGAAAATGTTCTAAAACTAGATTGTAGTGATGTTTGCTAGAACATCATCTAGAAATCATCCAGTTGTATACTTAAAGTGGGCGAATTTAGTGGGATATGAATTACACCTCAAAAAAGTTGTTATAAACAATAAAGCCTAGTAGAAATATTTGACTTCCATTTGAAATAGATGTATTCAAGAGAGGTAGGGATGTGGCAGTAAACTACACAAAAACTACTTTGAAAATGTCACCCTGGGAGGCTCTGCTTGCCCATCAGTAGACCTGCCTCCTTTTCCACTCAACTAAGCAGCACTGTGTGTATGTTTCTGTTACAGCTGTTTCCAGCAACTGATCCCGTGGGTACTTTACTCCAAGTTCCAGAACAGATTACTGCTCATCTACCTCACCCAGCTGGGCACATGCCTGCACAGCCAACTCAAGTCTCTCCCCCACCCCCAGCAGAGCCAGCAAAAACAGCTCAGGTAAAGCAGGAGTGCACTTCAGTGGCCGGTCTTCTGGGTAGAGGAAGAAAGCAGAAATTGATGTGGAGCAGCGCCTTATGTAATAAGGTTGATGTTGTGGTAGTTTTTAAAACAAGTTAGAAATTCTGTTTTCACAGTTTTCAGTGTATGCAGGTAAGAGAACTTTTCAAGGATCATACAGGCTTTTAAGCAGTAAAATAAGTTAACAATGGAAACATTCCAAATATCAGGAATTTGGGGAGTTGGTTTTATTATAGTTATGTAATATAATCTGTAAAGGCCCATCATCAGTCACGCACAGATATCATTAACTCCTCATACACTGAAAGCAGTCAAGGGAAGGAGGGCAGTGGCCTCCTTGTCTGTGAATTGCTCCTTGTCTTCCCTCAGGAAACTTCAAATACTGTGCATAACACATGATGTGAGGTTTCCAGAGTCTGTTTATTTATTAAATATTAGAACCTTCATTTTTTTTGTTCTAACATTTTAGATTGAAAAACGTAAAGATGGGGGCACCTGGGTGGCTCAGTGGGTTAAAGCCTCTGCCTTCAGCTCAGGTCATGATCCCAGGGTCCTGGGATCAAGCCCCGCATCAGGCTCCCTGCTCAGCGGGGAGCCTGCTTCCTCCTCTCTCTGCCTGCCTCTCTGCCTACTTGTGATCTCTGTCTGTCAAATAAATAAATCAATAAATCTTGGGGGGAAAAAAGAGAAAGAAAGGAAGGAAGGAAAGTAAAGGAAGGGAAAGGAAAGAAAAAGAAAAAGAAAGAAAGAAGTAAAGATGGAAGTTCTCTGATTTTTTCCGTTTGCATTGCGGTGGTGATCTGCCTTTGCGGGCCACTGCTCTGAGAGCTTCCAGTTAGTCATGGTGCTGGCTTCATGTAGTCTTTTCATCAGACCCAAGCTTTCCATTTCTTTCCTTCATATCTAAAAAGATACAGTTGTCTTAGGAAAACTGATGGAAAGATTGGGGGATTTACTTTATAAACTACTTAAATAGCACACAGGGGATAGCTTACAATGCAGAGAGGATTAATTTACCCATTAAAAGATCTGGAATCTCAGGCTGGGTGGATTCCTAAGGGGCAGACGATTTAGATCCTACCTTGTATATTGCTACATGATACACTGGCAGATTTAAGGGAAAGAACCCCAGTTTTGGTGTCTTTCACCCTTGTGGAGGGAAAGAGGGATCTGAGTAAACAAAATATAAATGTGGCTGTGTATGGAATTTCATGTGGGTTTGAGAATTCTCTTTTTAATTGTGCTTGCCTCAGGTTGACATTCAGCTCTTGTTCCTGCCTCAGAGTGCACCTCCTGCCACAGTAGGGAATGTCCCAGCCACTGGTCTGGGTCTGGCCTCACCGAGAGTGAAGGAAATTGCTGCCATGTGGACATTTCCTCTGCTTATGACCATTAGTCACCTTCATGCTTAGTAGTCCAGACACTGACTTCATACCTTTCAATGTGTTTTAGGCTCTGCCTTCAGGAGCAGGCTCACAAGAAACCAAGATCCCAATCAGCCTAGTACTCAGATTAAGGTAAGTAAACATCTTCTGTTTGTTTTCTGCACACTCTAAATATGCTGTTTTCTCTTTGAAAGGGACTCTTTTTTTCTAATAGTCCGTGCCTGAGAGTAACTGGGTAAGATTGTGTGCCCCCCAGTATCAAGTGCTGGGCATCACAGGGGTATTGTTTCCCTCAGAAGTAAGAGCTACAGGGCCCCTGGGTGGTGTAGTCGGTTGAGTGTCCGATTCTTGGTTTCATCTCAGGGTTGTGAGGTCAAGCCCTATATCGGGCTCCACACTCACTGTCTAACATTCTCTCTTCTTCTGCTCCTCCCAAATAAATAAATAAATAAAATCTTTAAAAAAAAAAAGTAATAGCAACATTGCAAGGACCTGGATGTTAACACATTCTCTTAGCTGTTTTTCCACTAGTCGTTTTTTCAATACAACTAGTTTAAGTTCTGTAATTGAGTATGGTCTGTAACTGAGGTATAGTTTTTAGGGGAACAGCACTGGTTGGCTTATCTGAAGATTAGGTTTGTGATTTTGACCATATATCATGGACTCTGCAATCAACTGACCCAAGAGTGGAGTGCTTTCTGATTGTGATAGATCATATTAAGGCCTTGTTCTTAAAAAATGAAAGGAAAACCCTCTGAGAATATATTTGGTCTTTTTGTTTTACAGCAGGTGTTCTGAATCGGTGGTTCTTGGTGGGGCTTATAGCCAGGCTCTGACAGATTGCTCACAGAAGTGCCATAGGTGGCGGTCTGTTCATTCTGACCCTCTCCTCTTGGAGGTAGTTGGGTTAGGATTGCAGAGCTTTCTTGTTAGACTAGCAGTGGCTGTTGTATTGTTCTAATTGGGTCTCGTTCTGTTTGTGAAATTAAAAGTATCACCTGAGACAACTCAGACCTTCGTAACTACTAACATTTTTTAAAAGGGTTTCCTTGAATTACCATGGACTCATTCCTCTTCCCACATATGAATTCCTAATCTTCTCAGTATGACAGTAATCAGAGATAGAAGCTGGGAGACCTTTTTTGAGAATGTTTTGATTCTACCACCCAGAGCAATGAAACTGTGCCATCAGTGTGAAGAAAGCAGATTGGTTTACCTTTCCTTTACAAAAGCCTAGTCAATATACATAGTCTCATCACAGATAGTTTTGGACTCATTAAAGTGTCTTGATAATCTTGTCCAATTCTGATTGTGCAAAAAGAATACCACTTGTCTCTTTTAGAAACTTTTTTTTTAAATCCTGTAGCAGCTACTAGTACAAAAATTATATTTGACCTGTGCTTCAGGAAGTTAGAGAAGATACTTAACTTGTAAGTGATACAACTAGCTTTTTGAGAGAGTGGTTTTTTAGTGGGCTGTGTTCCAGACTTGTTTGTGGAAGAAGAAACTATGTTCTCTCTCTCACTGATGAAGACTCTGAGGTGAAACCACTAGAAGAGATGGTAAACATATTTAGTCCAGTTTAGTGTCTTGCTGTCTCTGAAGGATTTGTGCTTAGCATGCCAGCTAAATCACTAAAATGATGCTGAATGTTCAATCTTTTTATTCAGCTTTCAGAAAGAATGGATTGACCAATTATGTATCAAGAAGACTGTATATCACACTGTTGGTTATTGTGGCAGGATACCAAGTAAAGAGTGAATAAGGGGTGCCTGGGTGGCTCAGTGGTTAAAGCCTCTGCCTTCGGCTCAGGTCATGATCTCAGGGTCCTGGGATCGAGTTCCACAGCGGGCTCTCTGCTCTGCAGGGAGCCTGCCTCCTTCTGTCTCTCTCTGCCTGCCTCTCTGCCTACTTGTGATCTGTCAAATATATAAAAAAAAAAAAACTTAAAAAAAAAATAAAAGAGTGAATAAAATGCCTCACTTGTTAGTCAGATCTAGGTTAGAAGCTGATTTGTATTATGTACTTAGCACAGGTTAAAGACACTTCGGGTGGTATACATGCAGAAGTATAAATCTGTATACAGGTACAAAGAGAAGGCAGTACGAAGGGGAAAATCATTTGGGGATAGATTGTGTTAGAGACAGGTAACTACATTCTAAACACAACTTCAGGAATATTTTCAAGTATCCATCAGGTAGACCTAGCCCTCTGCATTGTTTAGATAAAGTGGATTTGGGTCCTTAGTGATCAAGCATGTCTGCCTTTCCGTATAGTATTCTAAATGCCCACCTTTAACCAGAACCTCCAGGGAGCCTGGTTAATCTCAGTATATGGTTTGCTGAGTGATTACAGTAACTGTCCCTCACCAGGCACACATTTAAACCTCTGGAGCCATGTATTGACTCTGCTGCCAGTATGGGTCCAACTCCTTTTCTCATCTTTTCCTTACCCCTCATTGTCCGAACTCCTGTGGAATTTGGGGGAGCATCATGTATTTCATTTTGTGAGGCTGCCAAGACTGAGCACCTGTAGTGGGCAAGGCACTCTTCTAGGGGAGCCTGAGGTGGGTGTGAGGAGGAAAAGGGTATCCTCTATTTTTTTTTTTTTTAATGCTGCCGCGTATTTTAAAAAAATTTTTTAATTCCAGTATTAAAATAATTTAATTCCAGTTAACATTTGGTGTTAGTTTCAGGTATATAATATAGTGATTCAATAATTCTGTATATAGTACTCAGTGCTCATCAAGATAAGTGTACTCTTATCACCATCTCCTATTTCTCTGTCCACCTTCCCCCCTCCCCTCAGGGAACCATTAGTTTGTATAGTTAAGAGTCTGTTTTTTGGTTTGACTCTTTTTTCCTTTGTTCATTTGTTTTGTTTCTTAAATTCCACATAGGAGTGAAATCATACGGTTTTTGTCCATCTCTGACTGACTGAGTTCCCTTAGCATTATACTCTCTAGCTCTCTTCATGTTGTTGCAGATGGCAAGAGTTCACTCTTTTTTATGGCTGAGTAATATTCCATTGTATATACACATATCTTATCCATTCATCAATCGATGGACACTTGGGTTGCTTCCATATCTTGGCTATTGTAAATAATGCAACAGTAAACATAGGGGTGCATGTATTCCTTTCAATCAGTGTGTTTCTGTTCTTTGGGTAAATACCAGTAGTGTAATTATTGGATCATGTGGTTAATCTATTTTTAACTTTTTGAGGAATTTCCACGCTGTTTTCCATGGATGCTACACCAGTTTGCATTCCCACCAACAGTGCACAAGAGTTCTATTTCTCCACATCCTCGCCAACACATGTTGTTTCTTGTGTTGTTGACTCTAACCATTCTGACAAGAGGAAGGTGATATCTCATTGTGATTTTGATTTACATTTCCCTGGTGATTAGTGATATTTAGCATTTATTCATGTGTCTGTTGGCCATCTGGATGTCTTCTTTGGAATAATGTCTGTTTATGTCTTCTGCCCATTTTTAAATTGGATTCTTTGGGGTGTTTTGGTGTTGAGTTGTATAAGTCCTTTGTATTATTTTGGATACTAATCTTTTCATCCTGTATCATTTTAATTATACTTTCCTGTGCACATACATTTTCCTCTTAGTTTATATGATATCTCAATGGGACTAAGGATGGAAGTAGGCATCTAAGAATCTCCTCAAGGGGTGCCTGGGTGGCTCAGTGCCTTTGGCTCAGGTCATGATCTCAGGGTCCTGGGATCAAGCCCTGCATCGGCTCTCTGCTCAGCGGGGAGCCTGCTTCCCCATCTCTCTCTCTCTGCCTGCCTCTCTGCCTACTTGTAATCTCTGCCTGTCAAATAAATAAATAAAATCTTTAAGAAAAAAATAAAAAGAATCTCCTCAAAAGCCTGAGGGCTTTTTGTTTTTGTTTTTTTCTTACTTTGTGCTTAGGTAGTTTTTTTTCCCCATTTAAAGTATAGTGCTGTATTAGTTCGGGTGTATAATATAATGATTCATCAGTTCTGTGCATTACTCAGTGTTCCTCACAATAAGTGTAGTGTTAGCATGAGGTTTTTATATTGACTACTGGAGGACATAAATTAAAAGGATTGTAGGATAGTTAAATGGTCACTCTGAGTAGTTTGCTCTGAGCCCTGCAGTGTGAGCTCATTAGGATAGGTCGTAGGATCTATGGAAATAGAATGGTTTTTCTTGAGGCACAGCTTTCCTGTTATATGTTGGCAGAGTCAGTATGCATAAATCCAGAAATTTATTTTACGCATTCCCTTTTCTTTTGTAGGAATTCAAAAAAAGAACTAAATGATATTCGATTCGAGTTTACTCCTGGGAGAGGTAAGCCATCAAAAACATTGAAAACAAAATAACATCTAATTTATTTAATGAAATGTGTTGTGATGTTTTTGTCCTTTAGATATATTTTACTTTTAAAAGATGATGAAAATGTTCCTGGTTTAAAGGGTTTGGGTGGCATATGAATAAAATAAAAACTCTATTTACTACTAACCTCACTTGTAAAACCTAGTATGATACAAACAGTAATGAGTGTAGCTCTAATTCACGGCCTACCATAGTAGGCCAGGCATTGTGCTAAGCTTTCTACCGTTAAATTCTCAGAATTCCCCTAAGGAAGATTATTGTCCCCCTTGCGTAGATGATGAAACAAGGCTTAGAGTGAGGGGAGGTAACTTGTCCTTCACACAGCTGGAAGAGGTGCCTCTGGAATTCATATCCACACTTGTCAGGGTGCAGAGTTCTTGCTCTCAGTATTGAACATGGTTGTACTTCTCCATGACAGTAAAGAAGAAATAAGGCTTCTAGCCTCCTCTCTTCCCAGGCTGAAGTGGAATCCTGTCAGGCATAGTTTCTGGCCATGAACTTCTCCCTGGGATGAGACTTGTTTCTTTCTTGCCTTTGTTACTCAAGCGGTCAGACTGGGGAGGTGGCCAGCAGCCAGCACATTCATCCTGTGTGCAGTGCTCATTCTTCATGCTGTCTCGGTATCATCAGCAACTAAGTATGAAAGAGGACGGAAGCCAGGTGTGCAGAGGTGTATCCATTTCACTGTTTAAAACCAGGAAGAGGGGACACCTGGGTGGCTCAGTTGCTAAGCATCTGCCTTCAGCTCCAGTCATGATCCTAGGGTCCTGGGATCGAGCCCCACATCGGGCTGAGTTGGAAGCCTGCTTCTCTCTCTCCCACTCCCCCTGCTTGTGTTCCCTCTCTCACTGTGTCTCTATCAAATGAATAAATAAAATCTTTTAAAAATAAAAAAAAAATTAAAAAAAACCAGGAAGAGTCCCATTTCAAGGAACTAATTCAAGTCGCTGGTCATCAGCACAAATGTGTGCCCACCCACTCCCCAGAGGTCCTCCTGTTCTTTCGGGCTCAGTGTTCAGCCCTCAGGAAGCAGCAGCACTGACTCAGTTGGAGAGGAGATCAGTTAGGGTTGCTGAGTCCCTGTCTTTTCATTTCTTTTACAACCATTGATCAGATTATATGATGTAAAATCACTAGATATGAAAAAAAGCCCACCAGAATAAAAAAGAAAATGATGCTAGCAAAAATCTTGGGATGTGATCTCTGAAGAGAAGAGATTACAATTTGTTCTTTCAAGATGTGCTTGAAAAGAAATCATTCCATTATACTAGCCCTGAAGATGTTGCACACACGTCATCACATCTCAGAGCTGGTGGGGCTTGGGGCCAGGGCTGCCCTCAGAATGGGACTTTTCCTCTGTGGCATCACTGTCAGTTGCAAGTTATATTTATAGTGAGTTGATACTGGCCATCTGGTTGTTAGAGATTCTGTGCTCTAGCTAGACCTAAGAGAATCTCCCACTTGAGGTAAGCCCAGTGGTAGGAGAAACCTTTGTGTGGAAGATCCCCCCTCCCCCATCTCTTTGGTTCTGTGAATTTAGCAGCCAGCTTGGGCTTGCCAGTGCCAACATCTGCTCTAGGAGTTCGCAGTAACGTGCATGCACAAGAAATGGAGCACCTTCTTTTTTTTCCTTGCAGATACAGCGGAGGGTGTATCTCAGGAACTCATTTCTGCTGGCCTTGTCGATGGAAGGGATTTAGTAATAGGTAACTACTTTGTGCTCTGCCCTGCACCCTGGTGTCTCTCTCTTTGTATTTAGGACCTAGAAAACAGGCTTTGATTCCATTGAGCGGATCTCACGGGTCTTGGAATGGTCTTGGCATTGCTGATATACAGGTATTGGTAATAGTTCCTCACAAAAAAGAAAATCTCGTTTCAGAGTTCACTTTCTGACTTCCAGTGACAGTAGGTGAAAGCTGGGAGACTCTAGTAGAATTGATGATGTAATCACAAGTTAAAGTATACTTAACCATATCGAGTTCATTTTGGAGGGTGAAACTCTGCCCTTAACAGCAAGAAAGAAGTAAGCAAAACTCATTAGAGGCTTATTTCTAGAATAAGCAGAAAGTAAGAAAAGGTACAGTCGGCCCATGCGTACATGTTATTGAAGGAAAAGACCATTGTCTAGGGCCAGTCAGCAAAGTTTTTCTGTAAAGGACCAGTTAGTAAATAGTTTAGGCTTGTGGGCCATTCACTGTCTTTAAACCATTCTTAGCCCACAGCCAGACTAGAAATAGGCTGCAGGCCAGAGTTCAACAGCTCCCAGGGTAGAGCTTTCTGGCCCGTGAGTAGGCAAATCCTTCCTCTTTGACCTGTGTGTTTTGCCCCAGTTAATACAGCATCTTAAAGAAAGTTACTTTGATCATGATTCGAGATTTATTTGTGCTACTTAGAGTTGAGTTTAAAAGATAATTTTTGTTTGGGGAGTGAGTTATCGTTCCACTTCCATTTTGGTTGAACATAGAAGAGTCTGAGCTATTGTTTAAGTTTTAAAATATGGTAGGAAATGGATTTACTTAGCTTCTTATTACTTTCTGTTTGTATGATTACAGTGGCAGCGAATTTGCAGAAAATTGTGGAAGAACCTCAGTCAAATCGATCTGTCACTTTCAAACTGGTACTCATTTCTTCCTCTTTATTAAACTGTCCTTACATAGCCGCAGCTTCTGTAGACCAGCTTCTATATTCCCTGAGCTCTGAGAATATTAAAATATGGTGGATTGTGTTCATTTAGCCTCCCTAAGGCCTTAGGCCAGTGTCTCCTTTTGAGTGGCCTCCCTCTGTTCTCCCTCCAGGAAGCCTCCTACCCCAGGCCCTTGACTCTTAAGAGAGAATGTTTCCAATCTGACTCCAACTTTGTACCCAGACCCCACCTTTTCTGGAAGAGACACCTTCATCTGCATCCTCGTATCCCAGGGACCTGTACCCTGCTGTCTTCCTCCCTACAGTCCTTATATCAATATGTTTTAATTGCTACGTGCAATTTTGTTTACAAATAACCACAGCTTCTCATTTTGTTTGGTTCTTAGGCATCTGGTGTCGAAGGCTCGGATATTCCTGATGATGGTAAACTAATAGGATTTGCCCAGCTCAGCATCAGCTAAACCACAGCCCTGAAAGAGGCGGCCTAAGGAGATTCCACACATGCGTATCTCTGTTGCTTCTGTTGGCCTAAACCCACTACTGCCAAAGAACCCAGCAACAAACCTCCCGGCTAGGAGCTTTAGAGGTCTTTCTTTATGTTCTTCCTGCCATCATTCCCCCCTTTTCCCACAGGGAAAGAAAAGTTGGATCACCAGTGGCCAGCATCCCTTTAAAGAGTTCCGTTAGTAAACTTACTGCGCATGTCCCCTGTCTTTCTCCAGCTGAGAAGGGGACTGTGCCTCAAGGCTCAGGAGGGAGATCTGGCAGCTCATCTTGCCTTATACTCCAATGATGGCGCTGGGTGGAAAGTAGCAGCTATATTGGGCTTCTTCATCCTGCCTGTTCTCCCACACCTGACAGGATGTGGGCAACTTGGGATATATCTTCACCACTGAAGTAGCAATTAAAAGTTGATTGTTTATCTGGAGCCCAGAGAATTTAATTTAGTAATTTTTTTTTTTTTTTAATCTGATGTGAATTCTAGCAACCTTTGTTAGGAAAAAGCACAGCCTCAGAAAGAGGCAGCCTAAACTGTGTTATTGTTTTGTTCATGTTTCTAAGCGTTTTGCTAAAGCTGCTCTCAGGCACCCCTCTTCATCACTCCCTCCAGAAAGGGTTGCTAGCCTTAACTTCAGCTGGTGCAAAACATCCGACTGTAGTCGAACTTCAGCCATCAGATCCTAAAAAGTGGAACTTTGGACTGTTTTTAGCTAAAACATCAAGTAATGGCTTGTAAAAGTGAATTTCCCCAGCAGTGGTTTTGAACAGGAAGAATCATAACTCATATCATTGTGGAAGTATTTATTTTCAAATCTTAAAAAATTCAGTTGAAGAAAAACTGCTCCTCAATCCTCCCATGAAAATTTGCCTGGCCTCCACGTCATAAGGAAACGCAAGGCTGAGCTTTCTACAGCAATAAAGGAGACTCACCAGGCCAGCGAGGCCTGCCTTCCGGCCCTCTCCTGCACTGACCCTTTGGAGGGGCTCCACACTTCTGTGCGCTGAACCTGACCCAGGATGGAAAGTGAAACCACATGTGCCGAGACTTTTAGGATTTATGAGTAGACAGTGTTCATTTGATTTTCTATAGAAATAATATAAATTATTCTTTAGGTTTAAAAACGAGCACTCATAATGCAATATGTGAGTAATCGGTGGGGCCGATTTTCTTTCCTACTGTTTCAGTCAACCTCTGTCTAACTGCAAGTAGCCCTAACAGTTTTTGTCTAAGAAAGGGACACTCAATCTGGCCTTAAAACGACATATGAAGATGGGCTTTGGCACCATGGAAAGGGGAGAGCTGCCTCTTACAGAATCACGCAAGCCCTTTCCAGTACCGTTGGTCTGTGAATAACAAGATTGCTTCACCTAGTTGTCTCTTGGAATATCTCTGGAAGCTTTCCCCACAACTGAGTTATCGCAGCTCTTGTTTGGTTCTGAGCTTGTTGTTTTAGTCATGGGCTTCCTTTCCCTGCCCTGGGTGCAGAGGCATACTGGGGAAGGAGTGGATGTTGGGGAGAAGGATGGGATGGGTTTGGAGTGGCCGTTGGGAGGAAGGTAGATGAGAGGATCAGACACCAAAGTCCAGGGTCCCAGCAGGACTGGTAAAAAGTGGGAGGCCTGCCAAGCCTAGAGAGGGAAAAGATTGATCAGTTTGCTGGAAAAATACTTAGCTTTTCTTTTTCTTTTTTTTTTTTTTCTTTTTTCTTTTTCTTTTTTTTTTAGAGGGATGGGAATAACATATGAAAAGGAGATAGTGTCCCTTTGGCACAAGGCTAGTGGCTTACCTTTGAGTCTGTATTTTTGTCTCAATCAAGCCATCATCATCTACTTACTGATAAATCCAGAGGGTGGTGGCCTCACTCTGTTCTAGCACTCTGTTTGGAAGTAGTCTGGAGCCCAGGCAGGAGGTGAGCAGTAGCCCATTGCCGTGTTCAGTTTCCCCAGCCAGCCATGACTTTTAAACTGCAGTGGGACAAGCATGCCAATAGAAGTGGGCTAGGGCTTTCTCTTTCTTTTCAGTTCATTTTTTTCCCTGCTGGGAATTAGGAGCCAGACACCAAGACCCAGGACAGTGTTATTTCTTCTGCATGATGTATGGTGGACTCCCTTTGCTGACTTTCACAGCGATGCTGAGAGAATACATGAACAGAAACTTCCCAGGTTGGACAGCACGCGACCTAGTGAGTGACCTTGCTCCTTTCAAGGAGCAGTGGTCTAGGGTACACCTCTGTCTCTAGGTCTTTAGGATCCCTTGGTCCCTGGGGGTAGGGACTAATTTAGCACAAGGTAACATGTGCCAATGCTGTTTGTGAAATGTATGGTCTTATTCGAAATGACTAATGGATTTATTTGGGTTTTTTGCTTAGGTTTTGAACCAAATCCTAGAGCCAGCTGATACTATTTAATAATCTGAGGATAGAATAATGGTGTATCAATAAATGGAGGTTCCTCCTTATGACGTATGCTAGATTATGGAAGATGTAAAATATTTGACCTTCCCTTCTCCCTTTTTTTGACTTTGTATTTTGCTGCATGTTTCCTTCATTTTTAATCAATAAAGAGTAAATTGTCTGTGGCGGTGTAAGGATTCTTTACTTCAGTGCTTGCTGGTGGGGAGCGTGAGGAGTGGGTCAGGGAGTCACTACTAACTTAATTTTTCACACAAATGGGAAAAGTGCACATAAGCTAAAAAAATGTGTGTATTGACCTACAAATTATCTAGGACAGCTGAAAATCATTGTACAAATGGGGAAACTAAAATCTCAAAAGGGAGAGAGAAGATATGGCCAGGGAAATTTCATAGCATGGGGCACAAAACTTGTACTGTTGTTTCTGTTTGATTCTGCTTATGCAGTTGGATAGGGTAAAGAGGCCACATTCAAGGCCTTGTGAGTCCATTTTGGAAAATTGAGAGCAGGGCTGAGCTTGTCGCTGTTTGACTTTGCTATTGAAATGGTGGGATTACATGTGAGAGTCTAGGCTCCTCTGTATTCTTCCACCTCCCATGTAAGTAATCTTGATCATAATACTTTCTCCACAGAAGGGTCCTTCTGGGACAGGACTGCTTGTGGATTCTTGTAATTCAGAGCTCAGGCACTGACAGGATTGTATCTGAGTGATTTTGCTCTCAAGATAAGCAGGTTGTAAAAGTGGACTCTGAGGCACCTGGATGGCTAATGATCTCATTCACCTTAATTAAGTGAGTTTAAATTATGACTCACTTTTTCTTCTCAGAGCAGATTGTAAATAATAGCACAGAATTTCAGTTGGCTTAGATAAAATTGTTTGATTAATTAAAAGTTTGACTGATGTTCCTTTTGTGTGAAATATACTTAGCAGTTCAAAGTGAAAAAAAATCTAATCCTGGAAAGGATTGTCATCATAGAACTTGAAAGAAATATTGACTTGGGGGCGCCTGGGTAGCTCAGTGGATTAAGCTTCTGCCTTCAGCTCAGGTCATGGTCTCAGGGTCCTGGGATCGAGCCCCACATTGGGCTCTCTGCTCAGCAGGGAGTGTGCTTCCCCTTCTCTCTCTCTGCTTGCCTCTCTGCCCACTTGTATCTCTGCCTATCAAATAAAAAAATAAAATCTTAAAAAAAAAAAAAAGGGAATATTGACTTGGTAGTTTCCTAGTTTATGCTCAATACGAAATTCCATTTCATTTGGTTTCTCAGGAATGTCATCTATCCTTTAAATATGAAAGATAATTACGCGAGAAGGAAGATGTCTTATGACCAGAAACCTAGAACTTGGACCTATTCTCTAATTTCCCAGATGATAAGGGCCACTCATAGTTTACTGAGCTCCATATTGTACAGATTACAGGCTTTTTGTCCCTTAATTGAAAGACTAAAATCTTTAAAAAAAAACAAAAAAAAAGCAGGTTGTGAAAGTGAACTCTGAACCGCCTGGATGGCTCAGTTGCTTAAGTGTCCTGCTCTTGATCCTGGCTCAGGTCATGATCTCTGGGTTGTGAGATGGAGCCCCCTTGTTGAGCCCCGTCAGGTTCCATCCTCAGGGCAGGGTCTGCTAGAGATTCTCTCCCTCTTGGCCCCACCCCCTCACTCACTCTAAAATAAATAAAATCTTCTTTAAAAAGTGGACTCTGGGGACGCCTGGGTGGCTCAGTTGGTTAAGCAGCTGCCTTCGGCTCGGGTCATGATCCCAGCGTCCTGGGATCGAGTCCCGTATCGGGCTCCTTGCTCGGCAGGGAGCCTGCTTCTCCCTCTGCCTCTGCCTGCCACTCTGTCTGCCTGTGCTTGCTCCTCTCTCCCTCTGACAAATAAATAAAATCTTTAAAAAATAAAAAAAATAAAAAAATAAAAATAAAAAATGGACTCTGACTATTGTTGGGACAGAGAAGGTGCTAGTTAGTCAAAAGTGACTGTGGTGCATGAGGGGAGAGGTGGCAGGGCAAGAATAAATGGAGCCTTTCTGTTGGCCGTTCTCTAACAAGTTCAGGCATTCTCAAGAGGCCTGCTTCCTTAGCTCTACCTCCTCATAGTAGCAATTCTCAGTGCAACAGTTTATGCATTTCTCCTTCAGATCAGTTCATCTACACCACACTTTCTGCCCTTTAAAAAAAAAAATAGGCTTCATCTTTTAGAGTAGTTTAGTTTCTTAGTGAAATTGAACAGAAAGTACAGAGTTCCCATACCTAGTCACATATCTTGACCCCATCTAGTCACAGCTTGCCCCACAGTCAACAACCTGTGCCAGAGTGGTACACTTGTTACAACTGATGAACACACATTGGCGTCATTATCACCAAAAGACGATAGTTGATATTCATGTTCACTCTTGGCTGTTGTATATACTATAGATCTAGACAACTGTATAGTGACACGTGGCCATCATTGTATAAAATAGATTCACTACCCTAAAATTCCTTGTATTGCACTTATCCATCTCTCCCTTCCCTCTAGTCCCTGGCAACCACTCATCTTTTGAGTGTCTCCATAGTTTTTCGCCTTTTCTGCAATATCGTGTATTTGGAATCCTGCAGTATGTAGCCTTTTCAGAATGGCCTCTTTTGCTTAGTAATATGCACTTACAGGTCTCCATTTTGTGTGTGTGTTGGGGGGGTGGTTTAATAGCTCTTTTTTAGGGCTGAATAATATTCTATGTCTGGATGTACCACAGTTGCTTTCAAGCCTTGACAAATTAGGAACAAAGCTGCTGTAAACATCTGTATGGAGGTTATGTGTGGATATGAATTTTTTAACTCCTTTTGGTGATTACCCAGGAGCTCAATTGTGGATTGTACGGTAAAGGAATAGTTTCATAAGAAACCGTCAGTTGTCTTTCACAATGGCTGTATACTATTTTGCATTCCCACCAATGAATGAGAGAGCTTCTGTTGCTCTACATCGTTGCCACCATTTGGTGGTGTCAGTGTTAAAGACTGGCAATTCTGATAGACCTGTAGTGATATCTTGTTTTAATTTGCTATTCTTTAGTGAGGTGATGTGGAACATCTTTTCATATGTTTATTTACTTTCTGTATTCTTAAGTGAGGTGCCCATTAAAGTCTTTTGCTCATTTTTAATAAGATTGTTTTCTTATTGTTGAGTTTTAAGAATTCTTTGTATATTTTGTATAAAAGTCCTTAATCAGATGCAAGCATACCTCATTTTACTGCATTTTGCTTTATTGTGCTCTGCAGATAACTACGTTTTTTAGAAGTTGAAGGTGTGTGGCAACCCTGCATTGGGCATGTCTCCCGGTGACATTTTTCCAACAGCATTTGCTCACTTTGTATCTCTTTGTCAATAAAGTTTTTTTCAATTAAGGCATGTATATTGTTATTTTAGACATTATGCTATCACACACTTATTATACTACCACATAGTGTAAACATAACTCTTATATGCAGTAGGAACCAGGAAAGTCATGTGACTGCCTTTATTGCAATGTTGGCTTTACTGCAGTGACCTTGAATCCAACCCTCATTATCTCCAGGTCTGTCTTTTTATATCTGCAAATATTTTCTCCAGTCTGTGGCTTGTCTTTTTTTTTTTTTTTTTTTTTTTTTTGGCAGAGCAGAGGTTTTAATCCTAATGAAGTCCAGCTTATCTGTCATTTCTTAAATGGATCATATTTTTGGCTCTATAGCTTAAAAAATCATTACCATACACAAGGTCATCTAGATACTTGCTTGTGATGTCTTCTAAGAGTTGTACGGTTTTGAATTTTCTTAGAGATCTATGATCCACTTTGAATTGATTTTCTTGAAGAGTATAAAATCTGCATCTAGAGTTATTTTTTGGCCTATGGGTGTTCAGTTGCCTACGGGTGTCCACCACCATTTGTTGAAAAGACTGTTTCTCCTCCATTGTATTGCCTTTGCTCTTTGGTCAAGATCAGTTGAATCTATGATTTGTCTCTGTTTTCTGTGCCATTGATATGTTTATTCTTTTGCCAATACTATACTCACTTGATTACTATAACTTTATATAAATCTTGAAGTCAAGTATTGTCCTTTGACTTTGTTCTCCATCAATATTGTGTTGGCTCTTCTTGGTCTTTTGCTTCTCCATATAAGCTCTAGAATCAGTTCCTCAATTTTCACAAAAACTTAGTGGAATTTTGATTGGAATTGTTTTAGTCAACAGATCAAGTTGGGAAAAACTGACATAACTATCCATACACATTGAAATCTCTACGTTTTTCAATTCATTGATTTTCTTTATCAGAATTTTCTAGTTTTCCTCATGTAGATCTTTTATGTATTTGTTAGAGTCTGTTTCATTTTGGGGGTGCTAATCTAAATGGTATATTTTTTATTTCAAATTCCACTTGTCTGTTGTTGGTATATAGGAAGTGATTAGCTTTTGTATCTTAACCTTATATCCTGCAAACTTACTATAAACACTTAGTTCCAGGAGTATTTTTGTCAATTCTTTCAGGTTTTCTAATAGATACTAGTATCTGGTGGATTATTATGTCATCTGTAAACAAAGACCACTTTCATTCTTACAAATCTATATATACCTTCATTTCCTTTTGTTGTTGTTAAGATTTATTCATTAGAGCATGCATGTGCAAATGGGGTGAGGGGAAGAGGGTGAGGATCTCAAGCATAGAGCCCAATGGAAGGCTCAATCTCAAGACCCTGAGATCATGACCTAAGCAAAATCAAGAGTTAGAGTCAACCCACTGAACCACCCAGGTGCCCCTCATTTTCTTTTCCTGTATTGTGTTAGCTAGGATATATAATAGGATGTTAAAAAGCAGTGGTAGGAGAGGATATTCTTTTCTTGGTCCTGATTTTAGTGGAAAAGCTATTTTCTCATTAAGTACGATGTTAGCTATAGGATTTTTGTAGATTTTTTATAACATTTTTTTAAAAGATTTTATTTATTTGACAGAGATCACAAGTAGGCAGAGAGGCAGGCAGAGAGAGAGGAAGGGAAGCAGGCTCCCTGCTGAGCAGAGAGCCCGATGCGGTGCTCGATCCCAGGACCCTGGGATCATGACCTGAGCCGAAAGCAGAGGCATTAACCCACTGAGCCACCCAGGCACCCCTTATATAACATTTTTAAAATTTGAATTCAATTAATTAACATAATGTATTATTTGGTTCAGGGCTATGGCTCTGTGATTCATCAGTCTTATATAATAAATACCCCTTGCTCATTACAACACATACCCTCCCCAATGTCCATCACCCAGTTACCCCATCCCACCACCCCTTTTGCCTCCAGCAACCCTCAGTTTGTTTCTTGTGTGCGTTCTCTATTCTGTTCCATTGATCTATGTGTCTGTTTTTGTGCCAGTACCATACCGTCTTGATGATTACAGCTTTGTAGATAGAGCTTGAAGTCCAGACTTGTGATACCATCAGTTTTGGTTTTCTTTTTCAACATTCCTTTGGCTGTTCAGGGTCTTTTCTGCTTCCATACAAATTTTAGGATTATTTGTTCCAGTTCTGTGAAAAAAGTTGATGGTATTTTGATAGGGATTGCATTGAATGTGTAGATTGCTCTAGATAGCATCAACATTTTAATAATATTTATTCTTCCAATCCACAAGTATGGAACATTTTTCCATTTTTTTGTGTCTTCCTAATTTCTTTTATGAGTGTTCTATAGTTTTCTGAGTACAGATCCTTTGCCTCTTTGGTTGGGTTTATTCCGAGGTACCTTATGGTTTTAGGTACAATTGTAAATGGAACCAGCTCCTTAATTTCTCTTTCTTCTGTTTCACTGTTGGTGTATAGAAATGCAACTGATACCTGTGCGTTGATTTTATATCCTGCCACTTTGGTGAATTCCTGTATGAGTTCTAGCAATTTGGGGGTGGAGTCTTTTGAGTTTTCCACAAAGAGTATCATGTCATCTGCAAAGAGTGAGAGTTTGACTTCTTCTTTGGCAATTCAGATGCCTTTTATTTCTTTTTGTTTTCTGGTTGCTGAGGCTAGGACTTCTAGTACTATGTTGAACAAC